TACATTTGAACAAACCAACTTCATTCCCTTTGTGTTCATTCATTCCTTTTGTGTTCGGATAGAACTGTGGCTTTGTGGAATAGAATCCCAGGAGGATGCATTCCTGATCTTTACAATCTTAACCTTTTCAAGTCTAGGGTTAACACATCTTTCACACATATTTGGTTTTTTTTTTTTTTTTTTTTTTAATCAGTATCACCCTGTCCAAGGCAGTAATGCCACTAAAACACAAGGGGTTACAGGGTGTCAAAGAATTAGGAAAAGAAACAAAAATGATGAACAGAAAGAGAAGAGAATAATCAGGAGGACAGTAGATAGCAATTGACATTGCATTTAAATTTTTGCAGATTAATTCTGTTCAGAAAGCATAGAGCTGGAAGGGAGTTCCACAAAAAAGGCAGTAAAGCCACTAAGACATAAGGGTTACAGGGTGTGGAAGAATTAGGAACAGAAACATTAATAATGAGAAGGGAGTAATCAGGGGGATAGTAGATAGCAATTGACATTGCATTTAAACTTTTGCAGATTAAATCTGGCCAGAAAGCATAGAGCTTATTCCATAAGAAAGGCAGTAAAACTACTAAGACACAAGGGTTACAGGGTGTGAAGAATTAGGAACAGAAACATTAATAATGAGAAGAGAGTAATCAGGAGAACAGTAGATAGTGATTGACATTGCATTTGAATTTTTGAAGATTAAAGTTGACTGGAAAGATTGGAGCCAGAAGGGAGTTTCACGAGTGAGAAGTGTGAGAAAAGAAACTGTTAGCATAGAACTTACGGCTATATCTAGCCAGCTCAACTGTAAATTGATGAGATCTTGACATCAGTCTCATACTGCACTTAAATTCAATATATTCTATAGTGAAGAGCTCATCTGAACAATTACTATGAAAGTATTTATAGAAAAGTATTTATAGAGAGGCAACCTTATAGCAGTCGGTAAGTGGCCAAAGCTGAGCTGCCAGATCAGGACCAATAGTATTGATGATTCTTCTTTGGATCTTATCAAGGAACACAAGGTAAATAGTAGGGCCACCAGACCATATGTGGCAGCAATGTTCTAAGCACTGCTCATCCAATAACCATTTTCCTTGAGTGTCCCTTGGACTTTGTACAGGTTGAAAAAATGCTTCTGCAACATATATTAGTTACAGTTTGTGGGAGAGAGTGCATTGTGCATGTTTGAGTGGCTATAACATTAACATTCTTATCAATAGACATAGGTTCAAATTTTAGCATGGTCCGTATATCAAGACAATGACGTTTTGATAATATTAGCCTGGGGAGATGACCATAGCATGCAGAACTTTTGGGAACTTCCTGAAAACTGTACCAAAGTTTGACCTATGACCTAATGCCTGTAAATGAAATTTGGTAAAGGAAACTGTTTAGAAGCCCTCAGTAATTGTGATAGCATGAAGTCACTAGTTATCATGACTGAAGGTTCAAGCACACTGGTTTTGTTCAACTCTCAGATATTGTGCCATATATACTGCATTTCTTACAACAGGAAATTCTCACACATTGTTTTAAAATGAGTCAAATTAGTTAAAATCTAATTTCTATAATGATACAGCTAAATTTTAAAATTTTGTATTCAGGTACTTTGCATAAAACATGTTTAATTTTGGTTATATATGTTTTTGGTCAATTCAAATAAAATAGTTCTGATAATGCTGCATTATATTTCAAGCAAAATTTTTCAAAATCATACAAAAATGTGTTCACTATGTCATACCAGACAATTTTTCTGATCAGAATCCATCCTACACATGTATATATCTACCATTCTTTTGTGTATTGAATATTGCTGTCATGTCTGGTCTGGTGCTCCTACTATACATCTCAAGATTCTTGACAAAATCCAAAGAAGGACCTGTAATATAATTGATCCTGACCTGGCATCTTGACTCCAGTCACTTTCTCACTGCCATGGCTTCCCTCTGTCTTTTCTATAAATATTTTCATGGCAATTGTTCTGATGAGTTTTCCTCCTTGGTATCTTGACCACATGAATTTAAGTATATTACTAAATTGTCAACTACATTTCATCATTTCTAATAGTTTGTTTTCTTGCACTTCTCACCTGTGGAACTCTCTTCCAGTTTCTTGCTCTCTTGCCATCTCCAAAAATTTAAATGCAACATCCATCACCATCTTCTGTCTTTCTGAAACCTGTTCTTTTATTGTCCTTTCTCCTCACTAAAGTTTTCTCATTCTCTTTCACTCCCAGTAACCTCTTACATATTAATGGCATTATCATTTTGCTTGGGTTGAAATGAAATCATTAAAAAGAATATATTTTCCTATTCACTGTATTTCATTCAATTTTACTTACATATATATATATCACAAAAAATGCTCCAGAATTAACACCTGCTATCTATTTCCATGAAAACTATAACAGGTATGGAGAACACAAGAACATCATTGGATAAAACAAAACAGTATTTTTTCACATATGCAGTTTGAGGCACTTAAATGGATAGACAGCAAATTAAAATTAAATTGTTAAATGTTTGTGATGGTAATTTTTAATACATGGATGAATTTAATGATATATCTCTGCATCATATGCATTTTGCTATAAGGCAAAAAAAAAAACTAAAAAAATTTTTTTTTAATCATACCACCCTAAGCAAGGCAATAAAGCCAATAGGACTCAAGGAATTACTAAATGTTAGAGAATATGGGTTATTACCATATTACCAAAATATGCCTCTGATATTGTAGGCTAACATAATAAAATATGAGATATTACTTTTGGAGCAACTCTACTACATTCTAATAAATTGAGAATTTACAACTATAAAGCAACAAAAGACCAACATCCATAACACTGAAATAGTAAGAAAATCATGGACTATTTTATGAACCATTCAATATATTGCAATTAATTCTATGACTGGCCATTTAATAATATATAAGTACATTTGATATATTATTATTTGATTTGATATCCTCTTAAGTGTTTTGGCTAGGTGAGGATGATCATATCTCAATTCCTACTTGCAGCTTAACCCTTAGGAGATGAAAGGATTAACACTTAGGAATTAACAGGGGTGATCTATCGGTTCAATAATACAAGCCTTAGCTGGCTTGTTTTCATAACAGTCAAATGATTGCTTCATGCATTTCTTGCACATCTGGAATTTCAATGATGGTTCCTATGATAGTTTGCTGTGTTCTGTGAAATATAATTTTTTTTGTGTTCCAAATGAGGACACATGAAAAGGGTTGTCTTGGCACTGAAACTTCAAATGAAGATTCTTCTCCAAAGGGTCTAAGACATAATTAGCATAGTATATGAACTGTTCAAAACAGTATTGCTGTCTGTGTACTCTCAATGATATCCTGAGTTCATCAACCACAAAAGGGACAACTTGAGCTGCTGCTGCTTGGTAGATTTCCATAGTCTTTACCTCTGTATTTTCACCTTCTCTTCCATTACAATATTCCTACCCCAAGGTACTGCAGTGTCTATCTGGATCCATTTATGTCTGCTCTTATGCACAAGTTTGATATCATGGTGATTGCTCTCCAAACGCTTGTCAGTCAAGATGGTCATATCTTACATGACTTTCATTTGCTCATTCTCGACAACCTACCAGGATGAATCATTGTGTCTCTTCTCTGTTTACTTCTTACATAGTTCCCAATTCTGAGGGCTACTTTGTCATAGTGTCATCTGTACACTTTTTGTGTACTCTTTATTATTATTGTTTATTTATTGTCTTCATACCAGTAATGTCAGTACTCCTCAGTACTCATGCTGATTTCCGTAATGTTGTCATGTTCCAACCCTTCCCTTGATTTCCAGTTCCTGCTGCCTTTTTCATAGGCTATTTTGAATCATTCTCAACATTTGGATAGTACAACTGTCACTACCATGTTCCACATCGACCTAGTAAAGTTGAAATATTTATCCATTTTTTTCACTTTCTTTTAGATTTACTCTGTAGGCAAAATCAACTGACACATTCTTTTGATGGCAAAATCAACTGACACATTCTTTTCATCAAAATCCCAAAGAATTTTGTGCATTTTATTCTCTTGGATATGATTTAGTGTTATGAAGAATATAAAATTATGGAGAGCCATGTTACGCATGTCCTAAAGGAACATGGCATATAAAAAAAGATATCCCTCAAACAAAGCATATTGTACAACAGAGCAAAAGAAAGAGTCATGGTCTACACAAAGCAAGAAATCATTATTTGATTATAAAAATGAATTATTTATTTTCTAAAAAATCATTTTACCCCTATCAAAGCTACAAGACTACTAAGACACAGGGTTTACTGAGTGTAAAAGAATATAAGAAAGAAAATAATATTAAGCAGGGATAACAATAAAAGAATAAAATAAGAAAGAAGATAACAATTGACATTAAATTTAAATTTTTGAATATGAAAGTTGGCTGGAAAGTAAGAAGCCAGAAGAAAGTTCCACCACAAGTGAAAAGTGCAAGAAAAGAAACTTAGCATAGAACTTACAGTTACATCTAGTGACCATTTCAACAGTAAGATGATGAAACCTTGTTACTAAGCTAATAGTATGCTTAAATTCATAGAGTCTAGGTAACATGGGAGAAAGTTCATCAGAACAATTACCATGAAATAATTCATAGAAAAGACATTAAAGCTATGTTATGTCTGTGGGAAAGTGACTGAAGCCGAGATGATAGGTAAGCACCAATAACATTGCAGATTCTTTAGATTTTTATTAAGAATCTCTTATATAGCAGGAGCACCAAACTAGATGTGACAGAAATATTCAAAACATGAATGAATGGTAGACTTATAAATATGTAAGATAGATTCAGAGGAGTAATATTATCTAGAATGACTCAGAAAACCAACTTTCCTACCAGCAGACCTAGCAATTGATATAATCTTTTCACTTTATTTTCTACTTTTTTCACCAAAACTGATTAAAAATAATGTGACAAACATTAATTCCATCTTGATATGTTATTTCTTTCTTTTATTTTATAGTCCCTGTTGAAATTAACTTCATCACTTTTGAAAAAAGACATTGCCATTCCTCCAGACATTCCAAGTGAAGATGGAAAAAACCACAAGTAAGATCATATTAAGTGTATTTGAGTTTATATAATGTTTCTACTGAAAAAAAGATCATATTAAGTGTATTTGAGTTTATATAATGTTTCTACTGAAAAAAAGATCATATTAAGTGTATTTGAGTTTATATAATGTTTCTACTGAAAAAAAGATCATATTAAGTGTATTTGAGTTTATATCATGTTTCTACTGAAAAAAAGATCATATTAAGTGTATTTGAGTTTATATAATGTTTCTACTGAAAAAAAGATCATATTAAGTGTATTTGAGTTTATATCATTTTTCTACTGAAAAAAAGATCATATTAAGTGTATTTGAGTTTATATCATGTTTCTACTGAAAAAAGATCATATTAAGTGTATTTGAGTTTATATCATGTTTCTACTGAAAAAAAGATCATATTAAGTGTATTTGAGTTTATATCATGTTTCTACTGAAAAAAGATCATATTAAGTGTATTTGAGTTTATATCATGTTTCTACTGAAAAAAGATCATATTAAGTGTATTTGAGTTTATATCATGTTTCTACTGAAAAAAGATCATATTAAGTGTATTTGAGTTTATATAATGTTTCTACTGAAAAAAAGATCATATTAAGTGTATTTGAGTTTATATAATGTTTCTACTGAAAAAAAGATCATATTAAGGGTATTTGAGTTTATATCATGTTTCTACTGAAAAAAAGATCATATTAATTGTATTTGAATTTATATAATGTTTCTACTGAAAAAAAGATCATATTAATTGTATTTGAATTTATATAATGTTTCTACTGAAAAAAAGATCATATTAATTGTATTTGAGTTTATACCACACATGTGCCAGTTCTATACACAGGTACAGAGAACAGTAGTTTAAGCAGTTAAGGTTGAATCAGTGAGCAAAGAAATAGATTTAGCTGCTTCTTGTTTTCAAAATAAAGCTTGAGTAATTTGGTTTTCATTTTCATTCCAATGAATAAAAGCCTTTTGGAGAAGATGAAGATAGAGCATGTTGATAGTTTTTACAACAAGCTAATCAATCCATTCTCCAAAATGAAGCAAAGAATTGTGTTAATTTAAAAATAAATAAGTTTTAAATTTGTCATTGTTTATAGATTAATTATTTTCTCAGATTTCTCTTGTAACTTTTAATGGTCACCATGGATTGCATATCCCAGTTTCGAAGTTACTTATTGCAACTGACATACATACCTCATATATATATATATAATATATATATATATATATATATGTGTGTGTGTGTGTTTTGTATAATTAATAAATAACAAACACTTAAAATCCTTTGATTATATATATATATATATATATATATATATATATATATATATATATATATATATTATATATATATATATAAATGAAAGGTCTGTCACTTAGCTGTTAACTTCAGCATCTTGACTCCAGAGTTCAATAGACAGACCCTCCAGGAATCCTCCATTCCCTCATCAGGGGGTACTAGCAATTAGTGGATACACTGTACATTGCATTTGAGAAATATTAGTAAAGAAAAATCCATTCTTGGTATTTTTCTGTACTAAGATTTGTTGAATGGAATGCACTTAGTGTAATTCAATATACTTATATATGTATGTGTTTGTGTGTGTGTGTGTGCCTAGCATCAAATGGGCAGCTTGCTGCATCATTGGGAAATAACTGAAAACAGTATGGCTTAACTTATATATATATATATATATATATAATATAACAATCTATAATTTTGTATAATTTTATATATCAACAAACAGTATTTAGAAAAATATGACAAACTGGAACATTTTGTGACACGTTTCATCTGATGAAACCTTAATGGATGAAACGCATCACAACAAATTTTTCAGTTTTTATATATATATATATATATATATATATATATATATATATATATATATATATATACATACACAAAATGTTTGCATGTCATTATCTCAGTATATATGCTTTTATTTAATCACAAATATAACCATTTTTCTTGTCTTGAGTCTCTCTTAAAATATCTACCATGACTCTGTAAGTGTTATTTAACCTTTTGTTTGTGCTTTAATCTTTCTATGATTCTATCTTTAGAAATTTCTTTTCTTTTTCCTTTACACGCTCTCCAGGCAAAGTGCAGGAAGGTATGCACAACAAAATTATTGTGTGTTGTCTTTTGTTGGTTATTCATATTTATACAATTTTAAATACCTTTATACAATTTATTAAATATAAACTAATATTTATAATCAATGATATCAACAAAATGACAATTGTTATTTTTTTTCACTATTCCTGTTTCTACTTAGATACAATGTACTTTGTTTTAATGAACAAAACTATTAATGATATTGTATAAACTTCCTTCACAAAATTAAATCTCAAGAGACTAAGCAGAAACTTGTAAGCATATATTATAACAAATTTCATAAAGTTGAATACCCCATTAATCTTTACATACATATACACAGACACATATATAGTGATTTCCAAGCATAGCTTAGATATGGAACAAGGCCAATAGTATGGGGCACCTTGTAAGGATTGAACTCACTACTGAGTTGTAATTGTTCTAGTGAAACAAACTTGCTAATCATTACACTGCCTCGAGGTGCCCCAGAGACACACATATATATATATATGTAATTGCCAGCAGTCCTGTGACAGACATGGAGCTCACTCTTGGATCTTTTTTCATAAAGTGTTGGTGGATGCTTTGGTTATGGTGAATCAATAATCTGAAAGCTGTACATAAAACTATTAGCTGAATTTTGATCTGGAATTTTTACTGTATAATGTTTATTCTATGGGGATAAACATTTACCACTGAATTAAGTGTATTGACAAAGAAGGCAGTTATATGGAAAAATATTTGTTATACTTTTTCATTAAATTTAAATCTTCCCATACATTGAGTTGCAATTTAAAATAAAATTTTTGAAATTACAAAACTCAAGATTAAAGAATAAATGCTCTTATTCTTCAAGATCAGTCAGTTATGTGCCATGCGTGATACATGCTTAGGTGATCATGCATCTTTCAATACATGACTGACAAGGCAGATTTTTCCCCACAGTAGTTTGCCATTTCTTTCTGCAGTAGACCAGTTGCCATCCAAGGCTATAGAACCCAGTCTGTCCTGCTATTTACCATTAGCTGGAGGAAGAAGAAAAGGATTCATACCTTTCCCAAGGGTATTAGTACATAAGTGAATGTAATGGATTCAACTGGAATTTGAACTCAACTCGCCAATTCCTCAATCAGAGCTGTTATCCATTACTCCACTGTTGGTTTTCATAATTACATTTTATAGTGATTCCTTTATTAATAGTGGAACTGCAAAAACTGATTTTGGGTTGCGAAATTTTAAAATACTACTTATTTTGATATTTTTCTAATAGTTTATGTTTTGCTTTTAAAATAAAAGACTTAAAGTTAAATTCTAAAGGCTAAACTTAAAGCTAAAGTCTAAATTTTAAAGGTTAATGCCTCAAGATAAAGATCAAATTTTAAAGATTAAGGTTTAGCTGAAAAACTCATTTTGTAAGCAACTTAAAAAACAAATAAGGAAATTTATCTTAATATCAGGAGGAAAACAAAAGATTTGAAGTGAAACAGTTTAACAGTTATCAAAATGAAAAGAAAATTCAACAAACTGAATTCATATGTTTGTCTTAAAGCTTCCATCATTTCTTTCTTTGTCAGTACACTTAATTTAGTTATGAATATTAATAATATAGAGTGAAGAAAAAAGTCTAAGATTAGCATGCATATATTTTAGATCTTGGAAATAGGTGGAAAGACCTGAGTAAAGTGTCTTTGTGCCACTCATACAAATGACTTCACTACATATAAACTTGAACTGCGTCCATGAGATAACAGGGCTTCTGATTTCCATGAAGTAAAAAAAATTAATAATGGTTGTTGATTTGTGACAGTCATGGTTTGTGTCATGGCAGACAGCGGTTTCATTTTTGTTGATTGGTAGTTCAAATGACAAAGAGTGTCAGTTATACTGACAGGCTACTTTGGTGCAACATTATAGTCATTATTAAAATTTTGTATCAAAATTCAGATAATCACTATGTTTCAGGTTACAGATTTATTGATCCACACTTATGAAATACAAATAAGATTCATAAAAACATTAAAGAGGTATGAATTCAATTAAAGATTAAATTTTTATCAGGAAATTACAAAAATATCAACAAAATCTTTTTCATGACTCAGACATTATTAAATATGACCAGATAATGTTTGCTTGTATTAAAACCTGTTTTAACAATATTGTCCTTGTTTTTTCACTTGATAAAAATATCTTTTCTCTTCTTTATTCTACATTCATATTCTTTACATTTAAGACTAGTAAACAGGTTGTTTTAATCCTGATATTCACCTACATGTTACTCATACTGAAATCTTCATAAAGGAAAAATAAATAAATAAAAATGTAAAACATGCATACTGTTCTTTTTATGCCCTTGTTGATATAGATAACTGTAGTTTCCCACAGCTTACATTTTAGTATCTTTAAACACTGATTGCTCTTATGAAAGATAATGGATTTGTTTCCTATTGCCTTTTCTATGGATTTGAATTCAGGATTGTCCTTCTCCTACACTGGTTGCCAACAAAGGCTAGGAAGTTCAATCCACTCTTCTATTTAATCCAAATCAGAAAGCAGAAGAGATGAGTTCATGCCTTTCCCAAGAGGATTAGTATGATTTAATATAAATTTTATCCTGTGGAATTTGAACTCTGCTCCTATTGACTGTTCTGTTAACTGTCAGTTTATTTGTATCTCAACAAAATAAGATCAATATGTGATGACTAAATGTGAGTTCATGCCTTTCCTAAGTTGTTAGCAAGAAGTTAATATGAGCAGTTTTGTCTAGAATTTAAATATGTTCATTATTTTAAATTTTCACTCCTGTTTTTATGCCACCATACCGCCCCCAAAAAGTAAAAATACATAGAATAATTAATAAATGTTATGTCTATTACTATCTTTATCCCATAATAGTTG